ATTAGTAGGTCAATAACGTTTCGTTTTTGTTTTTAAATTATATTTTTAACACGCTCTTCGTAGTATATTGCAAAATCACTTTTCAAAAATGTAAAAAAAAGAAGGAATATTCTGAATGGTAGAAAATAGTGGAATCATCATCTCAAAACGTGAAATCGGTATACCATTCATCTCAACAATCAAAAGATACCATTCTGACTGCGACTAAGCTTATAATTCGCTAATTATTCATCTCAATATTAAGACTCTACAAATATGAAACCCATCACATGCTAGCTGAAATCAAAGCTGCACCCTTTTGGGTTTCTTGGTGCATCGGCATGGGCAGCAACGACCTTTTGGAGCCGGTGCACAACATACACAAGCCGGGCAAACGCGAGCTGATGCCCATTCTCTCCGCAGCATACGCCCTTCAGTGGTCACAATTATTAATAAATAAACTTCACCTAAGGAAAATCGCGACGGATAGTTAATTCAAAACATATTAGCTTACCATGCACTCGAGCTGCTTGACATGGAAGGGTCGGAGAGAAGACGAAAGCAAGTACAAGAATGGAAAGGAAGATGATTGAGCTCGATCGCTCGGTTGCCATTGCAGCAATCTGATGAAATAAAAAAAATGCTTAAGAACTTAAAAAAGACTTTTAAATGCAGTTTCAAACCATGGTAGGATGATATTATATAGGCCATGAAGAAACTTGCAACTTTGTTCAAGAGGAGTAGCAATAAAATAGGGGGTGATTAGTGGAAGCATTAAAATTAAACCAATCAAGCTATGATTTTTTTTTTTTGAACACACATAATTAAAAAACAATTTGTGGTTGTGGAAAGGAAAATTTCTGACAACACTATTTTAAGTGATATGAGAATAGTTTCTCTTTCTCCTACAGAACATTTATAGTGAAACTTTATAAATTAATAATGGCGGATATTTTATTAATTTATAGATTTAATTTATAAAGATATTAAATATATCAAAAATTTATTGATTTATCCAGTCTTTAATTTATCAAATTTTAATTTACCAATTTTTTTATTGTATAAATATATAATATATTAGGAATCTGATTCCCAGTTAATATCCATGTTGATAAGAAAAAATATTGAGAGAATAAAAGTATTATGGTATATAAAAGAATGAAAATATTGGGAGGACGTACATAAAACTACACTAGTGACATGGCATGACCATACCCAAAGGCCAAGGGGCAGGTGAAAAGATGTCAAGTGGATGGTTCCGAGAAAAAAGTCAGATTCGAGGGGTTGGGTTGGATTTGTCTTGAGGGAACAATAGATTGCTTTTCGGTGTTAAAGACAAAGGATGGCTTCCTTACACGCAAAGATGGAAGCATCCTTGATAGATGTATAGTTTGTTAGGTTTTTAAAACGGATTGCTCAGAGTTGATCAGTTTGACACAGTGACCAAATGACTGACATGCTGTCTCCAATTAACAGGTCCATGCTTTTTTAATTTATATAATTCAACGTTTTTTTAAATTTGAAGGC